CGAAAGGAGTAGGGGTGTCAACGGGGCGGGGCGGGGCGGATTTTGGCATTCCCATCCCCATCCCCGCCTCACATTTTCATCCCCATCCCCATCCCCATCCCCATGTCGGGTCTGAAAATAATCCCCGTCCCCGCCCCGGCGGGTCCAACTCTAAAACCACCCCCGCCCCATCCCCGTCCCCGCCCCATACCCGCCAAACCCCCACCCCATACCTGCCAAACCCCCGCCCCATCCCCGCCAATTCCCCGCCCCATACCCGCCAACTTAGTATTGAGAAAAGCAACTGTCTTTCAAGTTTCAAGTGTCAACTGAAACCCTGCAGACTTCATAGTAGACTAATGAAAAAGTAGCAGTGCATACAAATCCCATTAACTCAAATCCAACAAAAACCACTGCAAGATCAACCATTTTCATAAAGTGCAACACCTTAGGCATACATACTACATTACTACATATTAAAAAACTTAAAATTAGTAGTACATAAGAGAAAAAAAAAACACTAACTCCAAATTGTCCAAAGTCCAAATATTAAAAATAACTACAAGTCTACAAATATTCAAATACATAACAAGAAATTCATTAGGCCTTGAATTATTCGGTGCAAAGTCCACTTGTTCCAGAATCGATATCACATGTTTCAAATCCTTCCTCTAATTCTCCCACTAATTTAGCATATTCATCATCCTTAAATTCTCCACAATCTGCAAATACAATGTGAATTAATTAAAATAAATAAATAAATAATATTATTAATTAAATAAAATTTTATTTTAGCTATTTACTTTTAGAAGCAGCCCATATCCAATTTTGAGTACACATCAAAGCTTCTACAGCTTCCGGTAAAAGCCGACTACGATAAGGATTAAGAACCCGACCACTTGTGCTAAATGCGGACTCTGATGCAACAGTAGAAACAGGAATGCTCAATATATCTCGTGCTATTTGCTGAAGAATGGGATATGTGCCTCCATTTGTCTTCCACCAGTTAAGAATATCAAAATCTTGGACTAGAGGCACATTAGCAGCACCTAAATACTTATCCAAATCTGATATATCATGACTTGAGTCCTTATCTTGTTGTAAAAATTCAGCAAATTCTTGCATAAAGGTCTCTTCATTGGATTTGCTACTACTACCCAAATCAAAAGCTTGTTGGTTGCTACTACCTTGAGTTTTACCCATCTTAGACCCATATTCATCAACCAATCTTCGTAGAAGATCACTAATTCTACTAACCTCAATTTCAAAGTCATGCTCATCAAAAATTTTTGCAAAATAAAAGCGAATAAGAGCCATTTTGTATCTAGGATCTAGTATTGTTGCCACTCCCATTAAGCCATTCACACTAGCCCAATACTTGTTATATTTTTGTAACATAATGTCGGCCATTTTCCTTACATAATCATGAGGAGATAAAAGCCAACCAGAAATAGCAATTCTCAAAGCACAAATTTTAGGAAAATAAAGATTGGCCGTAGGGTAATTTGTTCCTGAAAAATTAAGGGTAGTTTTACTAAACACTTCCAAATGTTCACATATTTTCTCAACTTTTTCCGAATCTTCAGGGGTCGGTGGATTCTTATATAAATTATTACGAGCACTTAAAACAACAAACACTTCTTTATAACTAGTAGCAATAGAAAGCATTTCATAAGTAGAATTCCACCTGGTTTTGCAATCAAGTGCTAACTTTCTACTACACTCAGGAGTTATTTGCTTAGCCACTTGTTCAAACCTTTGTACTCTCTTATCAGAAGCAGTCCAAAACACAACACTATCCCTAATTCTTTGAACACCATTTGATACCACAACACTTAAACCATCTTGAACAATCAAATTTAATATGTGAGCACAACAACGCATATGAAAAAAATCACCTCGCAATAAAAGTGAGCCATATGGAAACACTCCTTTCAAAATTTCCATCATTGCATCATTAGTTGAACAATTATCCACGGTTATAGAAGACAACCTAAGATCAAGATTCCATGATTGAATGCTTTCTTTCAAAGCATCAGCAAGAACCTCAGCAGTATGAGGGGCGGGGACATATAAAAACCTACCAAAACCAATGAAAATAACATATATTATTTGTCTATTCAATACTATTGTGGATATATGGGCTCATTATTATCATCCATCATCACAACTTATAATTCTTATGATTTTAAAATTCACACAAAAAACTATAGCAATACAAAGACAACCAAAAAAAATAAACAAGTTATAAGTAACCAGAAAACAATACCTTATGATCCGACTTTGCAACTTCCATGTATTATCAATAAAATGTGAGGTGACCGCCATATAACCTTTTCTCTGGTTGTCAGCTGTCCACATGTCAGTAGTTAAGGCAATCTTACCCTTTGCTTTCCTCAACAAGGTTGCAACATTCTCCTTCTCAAGCTCATATCTTTTCATAATATCTTTTCTAGTTGTGTTGCGAGACGGCACTTTAAATCCAGGTTGGAGTGTCTTGCTATATTTTCTAAAACCAATATGCTCAACCATGCTAATTGGATACTCATGCAAAATAATCATCTCTGCCAAGTCTCTTCTTCCATCTTCTTGGTGGAATTCGTAAGGAGCCAATGTCATCGTGTCATTCTTATCATTCAAGTTTTTTTTTGTACCAAACATTCTTGTTTGTCGAAGATCTTGACATACTCTCTTTGGACATATTTTTATATGATCTTTCAAATGAGTAGTTCCTGCTTTTGACCCACCAGCAAGTAGCTTGGAGCAATGGTTGCACTCAGCTTTTATCACATCCCCAACTCTCTTTCTCTTAAAATCAGACCACACTGCCGAAGTATGCCTACTAGTAATTGGTAGGAGAGAAGGATCGGAATTAGTCTCTAGAGGACTTTCATCATCATCTATTGCAATTGGAGTATTACTAGCGGAAGTGGGAACACTAGCGTTATTCTCATTTTTAGATGTCATTCTCCCCTGTAAAAATTAAATAAAGACAATTAATGCACTAGACATATTGACTACAGTATTGAACACATTTGACATCTCAGAAACAGCAATAATAAATTAATAATAGCAAATTAGCAATGCACAGCAGCAAAGGCAGATCATGCTTCTAGCACAGCTATCGGAAGATATCATGTTGAAAGGCCTATCAATGCATAATGTCATACTGTAACTGCTATGTTAATATATTGTTGCTGCTGCATAACCAGTTAACCACCTATCACACTAAGTCACTAACCACTACATACTGGCTGCCAGCAACAGCATCACCAAATTTAGTACTCTCATTTTGTAAGAAAGAGGGAGACAACAAACACAAACACAAGGACATCAAAATATAGTACAGTAGTTGTACAATTTGGTGTCTCAAAGTCTTCATTCTTAAAAGCTGTCAGCTTACGACATTAAAGATCCAACCTGTTCTTCCACTCTATCTATACACACCCACTTTCTTAACCACCAAAATCAGCACCAGATTATCCATCCACATTTTCATTACCCCAACTCAATTTGCATACATTGTGATCAATTTCATCAATATTGAGTACTACTTAAATTACAGTATAACAACAATAGTATGATACTATGATAATAGTTTGAAATTCATTTCTCACGCTTTTATACAATCTCAATAACAAAGAATACAACAAAATTTGAAGAAAATTCTTACCTGGGTTATTTAACAATTCTCAATAGAAATTGCTCCAACTTCCCCCAATGACATAATCCGAATTTAGTTATCACACATAAGCTAAAATAATAAACATAAACTTATAAGTCTGAAATTAATGAGAAAAACTAATTACAATCTATACATATTTCGACTTTATTATATCTATTTTGTGAAATTAAATATAAAAAAACAAGTAATGAAAATTCTAGATTAAAACCCTAATAAACTAAAAAATTTGGAGGTCATCATATTCATACATTATCATACAAAAAATAACAGTAATCAACTACATTGCATTAGATTGAAAGTATCATACAAATATAACACGAAACCCTAGCTCAATCAAATGAAATATTGAAAACCGCAATCGAACAAATCATAAATAAAAGACGAATCACATACTTTCAATCGAAAACCCAATTAAGAAATTCTTAATTGAACATATTGAATTAAGAAAATTCAAAGATAATAATGCGAAAACGTTTACCTAAATTGAATGAGTTGCAGCCTTGCAAGATCGAGGTTGAAGAAGAAGGATCGAAGAGATTTGATTGCAGACGAGGACCACGAGGTTGAAGAAGAAGGATCGAAGAGAGGGGTTTGAGGCTTGAGGAAGAGATTCAGCGCAGTGAGACTGTGAGAGGAGAGAGTGAGGCAAGGGTTTTTGTTTTGAGAATGAGTGAATGAGGGTGGGTATTGGGTAAGTGGGTTACTGGGTTAGATTTCATTAGGTGTAGTTTTTTTTTTTTTTTTAATCGTATTATGCTATGGCTAGTCGGGTCTTATGCGGGTATGGGGTGGGTATAAAGCGGGTATGGGTCGGGTATGGAGTGGGTCAGGCGGGGCGGGGCGGGTACGGGGTGGGTCAGGCGGGGCGGGGCGGGGCGGGTATGGGGCGGGTCTGGGCGGGGCGGGTATTACATAACAACCATCCCCGCCCCATCACCCACGGCGGGTATGGATTTTAGACCCATCCCCGCCCCGCGACCCGCCAAAGCTAGACCCATCCCCGCCCCATCGGGGCGGGGATGGGGCGGGTCTCCTACTAGACCCGCCCCAGTGACATCCCTAGAAAGGAGTAAGTAGTTTTTCTTTTATTTGATGAAAAATGGTCCATGGGAATATTTTGCTATATATCTTTCTCTAGGTATCAATATCACAACCTTGTCACCTCTTTTCACTTTACATTTCTCACTTTGCACCTTGAGCTTAAACTTTCTAATCAATTCACTCAATGGTGGGTCCTTCATTAAATTCTCAACCCCATTAGTGAAAGGTACTTGTGAAACATTTATACATCACCACCCCCCCCCCCCAAAAAAAGGGTAAATAAGTAAATTCCGAAAAACACCTCCAAAAGTTGAGTTAACAAACTGCACAAAAATGAAGAATAGAAACATTTATACACCCTTTCAGAATCTTTCAATCTTTATCACTTTTTTGCTCTCTACTTTCACTATCACCCGTTAGATTATAATCACCCCCTTAATTTTCACCGTTGATTTAAGGGCGCACTTAGATCCTCTTCTCCCTTTCTCTCTCCTCCCATCTCAACTCCCCGCCATTTTACTGCTCCTACAATCTCAACCCTAGATTCATTCCTTTCACTTCACTCTACAACTTTCTCTCTCTAAAACTCACACTTTCTCTTTCTAACTCACCAGAATCAATGGGTTTCTTCTTAAGTTAACCCCAACAAAAAAAAAATCATCCCAAAAAATAAAAAAAACTTACAAGAAAAAAAAAATGGGGGAAGAGCAAAAATCCAATGACCCAGAAAATTCCCGGAACTACCCTTCACCGTCGACCACCGGAGAAGACGATATCCGGAGATTAATCGATGACATCGAATCAATAGTCACACTTTCACACACCATTCGTGTGTTCACCATTAAATGGCAGCTAATTCGGAAGAAGCTCGAGGAGTTGAGCATGTTTCTTGTTGCGGCTGAAACCCCATTACCAAGATACAATCATAATGATAATAATGTTAATACCCAAAATCTTCACCAGCATAAATGTTTATCGGAGGCGGTCGCGGCAATCTCCGGCACCGTGAGAGTGTGCCGTGATCTCGCCAACCGCTGCATAAACGTCTCCTACAGCGGCAAGCTCCTGATGCAGAGTGAATTGGATAGAGTAATATCAAAGCTCGACTTCGCTGTTAAGGGTGTAACGGACATTTATAATAGCTCAGGCGTTGTTACCGGTGATCTTGCATTGGTTGTTCTGAAGCCGGGCCTCGGGTCGGGCCGAGAGGATATGCGGTTTTATGTGAAGGATTTATGGACCCGGCTTAAGATTGGTGATACTCAGATGAAGAGACAAGCATTGGTTTCGTTGAATGAGGTTATTACTGAGGATGAAAAGTATGTGAAGATTGTTGTTGAGATGGGTGATTTGGTGATACTATTGGCAAATTGTTTGGACTCGAATGATTGTTGTATTCAGGAGCAGTGTGCGTTTGCAATCGCGGTTGTTTCGGGTTTTGATTCTTACAAGGGAGTGTTGATTGTTTCCGGTGTGATCGGGCCGTTGATTCGGGTTCTGGAGAAGGGGAGTTTGAAGGCGAAAGAGAGTGCTATTCGATGTCTTGAGAAGTTGACTGAGAATGGGGATAATGCTTGGGCGCTTTCGGCTCACGGTGGTGTGACTGTTTTGCTTAATTTATGCTCGAATTATGAACAAGTTGATGTTGAATTGATCGGGCCGGCTTGTTGGGTGTTGCGTAATCTTGTTGGGGTTGAGGAAATCAAGCGGTTTATGATCGAAGGTGATGCGATTTCGGTTTGTGTTAGGATCATTAAGGGAAGAGATGAATTGGGTCAGATTGGTGCAGCTGAATTCTTGCAGTCTATGGCTTCAGGGGACGAGAATGTGCGTCAATTGGTGATTAAAGAAGGCGGGGCACGAGCTTTGGCTCGAATTGTTGATCCTAAATCGAATTACTCTTTCAAATCGAGGGAATCAGCGTTGAAGGCGATTGAGAATTTGTGTTATTTATCAGTAGAGTCTGTTAATATGTTAATAGGTTATGGTTTTATGGACCAGATTCTGTATTTTCTTCGAAAGGGTGATACTTCTATACAAGAATTGGCGTTTAAATCGGCTTGCAGACTATGCGGGACATCAGAGGATGCAAGAAAATCAATGGGGGATATTGGTTTCATGGCTGAATTTGTCAAGTTTTTAGAGGCGAAATCTTATGAAATTCGAGAAATGGCTGCTGAAGCATTGTCAATCATGGTTTTAGTGCCTAAAAATCGAAAGAAATTCGCAAATGATGATCATAATATTGGATTAATCCTTCAATTGGTTGATCCAAAAGAGGGAAATTCTGGGAATTTTAAGTTCTTATTGTCTATAATACTGTCACTTAGCAGCTGCAATCATGCTAGAAGAAAAATTGCACATTCTGGGTATGTCAAGAACATAGAAAACCTTGCTGATGCAGGTGTTTCTGATGCTAAAAAAATTGTCAGAAAATTATCAGCAAATAGATTCAGAAACATGTTGAATGGGATCTGGCATTCTTGAGGAAAAAAAGAAAAAGAGATTGTAAGTTTTTGTTTAATTTTTTTTTTCTGCCACTTTTTTTTTTTTTTTTGGGTTAATTTTTTAAATTTTTTTTACTGTACATCTGCATATATGTGGGATGTTTTTAGTTTGTATACCCACCACCATCCTTCACCCATGCTCTTTAATCAACTCCATAAATACTGCTTTAAATGCAGCATTTTGGTTAGCTTGTAACTATCACTAAAGAAATTATAAGGATGAGAAAAAAAGTACATTAGAAAGTTGATAGATTTTATTATATGATGTAATGTTATAACTGATTCAATCACAGTTTTGTGACCTTGGTACTGTATGTGTAAATCTGTATGTTCTATGCTGCTGATAGTTCTGACATTGTTGTACAAAATTTAATTCTTTCCTGTTGCATCCCCACCCCCAACTTCTATTTTAATAAATGCGTTGGTTGTGCAACGATGATGGATTTTTAACTAGATTTTGCTACAATTCATCATCAAGTAGTCTCAAGCTGTTTGTTGGATAGAGCTGGTAAATGGGTTGTTCGGGTTGGATTTGGTTTGAGTGTATATGTTTGGATGATGATTGATTATGTTTCGGATATCATATCGGTTTTGTTTTTGGTTGAGTCAGGTTGAAATCGAATTTAGTAATTTGGCTATTGTACGGTTGAGGTATCATAGAATTTGGATGAGGCGATTAGTGATGATGAAAGTTTTGTTCAAGTGTAATCGCGGCTTGGTAGTTGAACATCGAAATTCCATACATTGCTGAATTCTAACCTGTGTAAATTAGGATGTTCTTGTAGTATGTAATGGACCATTGTATTGTCATGGGACTAAACCTAGCTAGTGACTTAGCATAGGATGATAGTGGGTTAGTATTCTTAATTTGCACCCTATGCTATGGTCCAAGAGAGATAAAGTCAACTAAATGAAAGAAAATTGCTTCCTTTGTAGTGCATTAAGTGGACCAAAACCATAAAAGAAACCATATCTAACCAAATTTAACCTAACTAGATGCTATAATGAGATCAAACCAACGCCATTGTGAAGGCATATAACACTACTAAATAGATGCCGAATACACCAATACCAATTGAATCTATCTTTATTGATCGGTTAAGATCTGAAATCAAAACTCGTCTGCATCCATCTGTGCATTGTACATCTTGCGCTTAAACTAGGGATAAGAGAAATTGGGGTGTTCAGGATTAATAGAAGGAAGAGTAGACAGCTTAGAAATGGGACCAAAAGGTAAGAAGGAAGTGAACTTTTTGTACTCTATTGGGTGGAACTGCGGAAGCACATGGGAAAGTTATGAAGAAAGTAGTGAAAGGTTTAAGGGCATGTGAGAAGTGGCAATCAATGTTTTGTCTAATCCTTCTTCCTTTCTTCTCCTAAATGCAGACAGATAAAGGAAAGTGATGGATGATATAATACGATACGCAGTACTATGCTTTTGCTTGTCATTTTGTTTTCAATGTTATTTTTATTTCAATCTTCCGTTATGGCAGTTTCCTACCCGTTATACCAAGTACATAGTACGAGTATGCATCATTGTATATGTAATGACTCAATTCTATATCGTGCTTTATCTGACACGTTTGCTAACGCATTACTTTAATCATTTATATTTATAATTATACATAGTAGACAACAATGAAACTAAGAGTCTGTTCTCTTTAGCTTAATTTCAGTTCAATTCAATTCCTACCTCTCATAAAAAGTTCAGTTCAATTCAGCTCAACTCGGTAAATTTAAACATGCCCTACCCTACCATGTTATTTGTAGTCCTAATATTTTTCAGTATATATTACTCTGTATGGAATAGTAATCATCATAATAAGTATAGTGTAACTAGGGGTGAACATGGTCTGGTTTGGTGTGGTTTGAGTCTAAACCAAACCAAACCAAACCATAAAATACGGTTTGGTCAATTTTCCAAACCAAACCAAACCAAACCAAACCGTAATAATGCGGTTTGGTTTGCGGTTTACGATGAGATGACATTTTTTCCTAAAAATTGTCAAATATTAATAAATTTATAATAAAGTTAAAATAATTAGCCAAAGGGATTAAATTCTACCACAAATTTTAAATAAAAATAACAACCAACTAATCAAGTGCTAAGTGCTAACACAATAACACATAATAAAAATAATACATAACAAATTAACAATGGAAAAAAAAAAAAATTGTCCAAAAAAATAATTTATACTACATCATAGACCTATTGAATTTTAAGTATTGATATTTGAGATTGAGTATAGAGTATAGTAGTATACTGACCGTATAGTCTTCTAATGATTTTTCATGTTTTTTTTTGTTTTTTTATAATATAAAATAACTATTTAAATTTATTTAAAAATTATTTAAATATTAAAATGCGGTTTACTGGTTTACGGTTTGGTTTATAATTTTTGAAAAACCAAACCAAACTGCAAACCGTATTTCCCAAAAAATCGAAACCAAGCCGTATTTTTCAAACCGCAAACCAAACCAAACCGCTAAAATGCGGTTTGGTCTGGTTTGGTTACGGTCCAGACCAAACTGTGTACAGCCCTAAGTGTAACAAGTAACAATAACAAATTAACAATGGTTTAAAAATGACGGTAGTAAATTTTTGGTTGTTTCTATTTGAGCGGATATGAATAATATTTTATTTTTTGTTTTTATCTATTTCGGCGGATATGGTAATTGGTAAATATTTTACCTGTGTTTTGGAACTATTGCTAATCCAGTATTCTAGAAGTACTGCTCGTATATTTATTTGTACAATTTGGAGTTTTGGACTAACCTCAAATATTCAGGTGATTCGATTTTATGGATAATAAGCACAGTATTTTGCACACCATATCTTAGTTTTCACTGGAAAACACACACATATGTTTTTGTATTTTACCAGGAGTAGTTTTGTGATTTGGCTTCTATGCTTTGCTATTTTGCAAAAAAAAAAAAAAAAAAAAAAAAAAAAAAACCTTGATTTACTTTTTTTAAACCCTTGGTTTATTATTATTATTTTTTTATTATTATTATTAGCTCGTAGATTTAAATTCAAGTATTGAAAATAGAAGAAAGATTAACTACGAGTACTTTTTTTTATTATTATAAATCACACAAAGTATTAACTAAAATTTTTCTAATCCAATCGTACCAAAATAATCAAATTTAAGTTTATTACGGAGTAACTTTAATTTGTTTTCTCTTAACTTATTTTTCTTGGCTTTAGCATATATAAAGGCCTTTATTGATACAAAAAATTCCTAAATATTGCAACAAACGGTGAATTGAGATTTGAGAAGGAGAAGAAAAGAAAAAAACCAATCATCTTGCATTGATAATTCTTGTACTCGTATTATTTTTGGTAAAACTTTGCCTCAAATTTTGGGCTTTATGCCATAAAAACAAAGGGTAGAAGAGAACTTCTGATCAATTTACTTACAATATACTGCATAATTTTTTTTATTTACTGGCAATATACTGCATAATTGGATACTGTTGATTGCTATCAATTAGCAATTTTAAAGTGATTTAAATTGTTGTATGCTATGATTAAAAGTGTAGTTAGCGTAATTTTGAACATACGCCACTTCCGTTTTTGGTTCATTTGTGGATGTCTATTCCATTATTGAAAACTTAATACAAGTTAATATTTTTTTTAGTCTATAAAGAGTAGTGAGTAACGTTACTCGTAGAAAGGAATTCATCACATGTACAATTTACTGAATATCATCTTCCAACTTGTATAGGAATAATAATTGAGTTTCCGTCCAAAAAAAAAAAAAAAAGTTTAAAAAGGCTTTGTTTTCTTCACTTGACTGGGGCATGTTCGGCAAAATGTAGTTGTGAAGGTAGATGTAGCTGTGGAGATAGCTGTGAGTTGTGGAGATAGCTGTGAGTTGTGGAGATAGCTGTTAGCTGTGAAAAAAAATAATTTAGGTATGATTGTTCTGTAAAGTAGTGGTTGACTAGTTGTTACATTTAAGAATCAATATTTTATTTTTAAAACTATACATTAAATTTTCAAAAGCTACCTCTAACCTCAAAAGTTAATAGTCCTAGCTTTTAATAAAAGCTACATCCACCACTAAAAGCTACTTGAACCATTACTTTGCCAAACACTCACATTTTTTGTTGAGTATTCAAACCACTAAAAACTACCTAAAAGCTACTCAAAAGCTAACGCCAAACACGCCCCAAGATTAAACTTATTCAAAAGTTGAATATTCATGCATACCGTTGTACAAAACTAATTCAAATTGTTGTTGGTTTTTTTTTTTTTGTTTAAAATTAACTTATTTAGCATAACATAACTCATTTTTATTACTCTATATCCGTTTTTTAATCACGTGTTTGTATTCCTTGTCTAAAATATTTTTGTCTTTTATAAGATCTTTCTTATAAAGATTATTGTACAAAGTACCTTTTTACACTATTCCTTAATTTAATTCAACCCATCTCTCTCTCCTTTTTTTTTTTTTTTTTTTTTAAAAAAAAAAAGATGGAGAGACAGACTTAATTTCATTGGTTATATTTCATATTCAAGGTTTTTGATTCTGCATCTTATATTCAATAATATGAGTTGACATTTGTTTTTTTTTTGTAAAAAAAGATGAAGAGACAGACTTAATTTCATTGGTTATACTTCATAATCACAAGGTTTTTGATTCTTCATCTTATATTCAATAATTAAAAATTTATTTCATTTGAACCTATCTGAAGTTTTGAACTGTTAACAGACCAACTCAACGAAAAAAAAAGCTGATGTCTTAGGCCCACGAATATGTTTCAAGCTCTATCACGCCCCTTCACACGAGAGCCCATAGAAATTGAAGTGTGGATACATTATGAGTCCTCCGCATATCGTGCGCGAAATATTCCACTTAAAAGTGGGTGATGGATGAGATTTTAACCCGTGACTTTTGTGTCACATTGACCCTGATACCATGTTAGAACATTGAGGCGAACACATCTTTTTAAGACTGTGAGTAATAATGTGAGTTTCATGAAGAATGGATCTAACACCCTAATACTCCGCTGAACAAGATTCATTCTAAATGTGGAGGCTTATCTCCACTGACCATTGCCATAAATCCAAGTGAGCATGCGACACAATCTACAGTTCATTGTTGGGTTGTCACCACCGGCCTATGGGCAATAAGTGATAAATGTGTTATGTAAAATTAAACTAAGAAATGCGTATCTCATGATAGCTTTGGGAATGGGCTCTTTCTCGTTTTTTGCATTACTGTTTTTTTGGTACATTTGAATCTGCGCTCCCACTCTCGGGTTTTATTATTATGGCTGTCATTCAGTAACAAAATCTTGTATGAGTCGGACTTACAATAATGCAAAGTACGCACTATATGAACTC